CGCTTTCCATGGGACCACACGGCTGAAGCCTGGATTTCGGGTGAACTTCTTTTTCTACAAATAAAATAGCAAGAAAAAAATCCATCACACACTGCTGATTTCCCGCGAAGTTCGCGCGCAATGTGACAAGTAACGCACGCTTGTCTCACTTTTAACACTCTTTCTTCTCCCGTTATACCCTAGCTTCTCATGACGGAAAACTTTCAGCTGCACCAGGGAAAGTTTCATTTTTCATGCGATACAGTGATCAAGCTAAATGATCAACTCGGTACTGAACATTGCGGAACTTGATTTATCGCATTAGTCCTGCAGGAAATAAATTATTCACTCCGTGTGTCGTATCACGATCTCCACATGGATAATGATTTCAACTTTTCGCGGAAAAAGCGGAAGTCGATATGACGATGACGCATGTGGTTCTTATGCAATAAACACCCGGATAAAAAAGCTCTTGACATAGGCATTGGGCCATATCGGCTTTGAAGATGCAAATTGTTTACTTTCAGAACTGCATGAATGTTCATTAACCTACATTGACTGAAACGAGTTACACTACGCCAATTACACATCTTTCATGTTTTTCGAGTTTTGACAAATGTTTAGTGTTTAATCAACTTTCCATACCAAAAAAACAAAACAAAAAACAATTCATATCGGCTTAGAAAAACCTTCAGTTGATGTAGTGAAACAGAAATGCGGTAGAAATTATTGGCAACGAATGGATTTCGCGATATTATACAAACGGGAACTAAACATGCAATAACAAGCAACGCCGACAAAGTTTATTTAATGCTTCTAGGAATTTAGATGTCAACAGCTCTTTTCCTTTCCATGAATCTAACTACAAAGCCAAAGGGCAACTTCATATCTGATTAATATCCAAACATCGAGAAATTTTATTGGGAAACGCAATTTGGTGATTCGGCAACACAAAGCCGGTTATAAAAGGTTAACTCGCATCTTTAAAGACGCTCATTTTTCACAACAACCCAAAAACCTACCGTGAAGAATTCAGACCTCTTTGAATTAACCCAACAAGCCGTCCGGACAGTTATAATCTCCTAAAACATCTCAGTTAGCTCTCACAATGATTCCAAATCCAAGATGGGCGACAGAGGAAGAGAAATTAAAGTTACTTCATTTAAAATGCGGGCTTTTCCCTGATTGGCCAGTTTTGACAGTGGGACAAATAACCTTCAGCGCGGAGAACAGGTGGAACTACACAAAGAAAAACGTCAGAGTAACACTAACCCAGGATATAAATTGCGGAGCGCGCAAATAAATTTTGCGAGGCGTTTAATAAACCATATGCAAATACTGAATGTTTATCCCTGATTATTATTGAAATTGGTATGCTTAACGTTTGACAGCAAAGAGATTAGTTCCACACTGAAAATGAAGTCCGTGAATTAATGAGTTCGCTTCTGAGAGTTGTTGAGCCATTTTCATAACCCAAAGACAGCGTTTAATGTAACAAAAAAGGTAAAGTCTTGAAACTTAACCCAACATTATCAATTATTGACAAGCGTGCATTGGCTTAGAGACGATAATAGGAAAACCTGAATTCATCTTTACGTAAGCGGGAATATCCTAAAATAATGTTAAACAAGAAAATACGAAATCTTGTTCATTTTATTTTGAAAAAACAAAATCAAAAAAGAAAAAACATACCGTTTGAGGTTTAAAGATTTACAATGACCGAGATACATGCAGTGGTCACCAGGCCAACCATAACACTGGAAATGTAGTATGCGATAATTGAGTGAGATTTAGTAATACTGGATGGGAAATCCCCAAATCTTTTTGACCGGCCAGTGCTGGGTCACATGGGCGATAGGGCTCTACACGGAGCCATATGGGCTCATCGCATGTTCCATGACACTACTTGGACGTCCTGCTACTCTAAAATCTTTAGAACTGTACATACCCATTCAAAGTGAAAAGTCTTCCCTACCCAGATCTACCCATTCAAGGGTTGGGAGAAGAGGCCATAGTTGTTTAGTGCTACAGAACCCTGGATGAGCTTATGCTGCTCCATGAGCCATGTGGCCCAGAAGTTGGCATATATTGTGTTTTTGCATACCTATCCTTTCTCATCTGAAGCATCTGACATCATTCCATATTCCTGGCCTAATCTTGAATGACAAACACTAATACTAGACTGCCAGTAATCTAACAGAGGAAACTAGGAAGGGAAAAGACCATTCTCTAGTCACAACAAAAAGACGCAAGACTAAGAGGGCAATATAAGGTTGATTTTGGCGGAGGAGCTCAAGAAGGATCAGTTTTCCTATAGAGCTGATTGTGACATTTCTTTAATAATGGACTCTGAAAAAACAGTATATCATACACGCACACAGCAAAACAGCAATAAGGATTGAGACTCGAGAAACACTTATCTTTGATTCTGATGGACTTGGTTGGGCTAGAATCGACTTGATCTTCAGTTTTCTTTACAATTTCTAGTGCTAACAGAAGAACGGCAAGAACTAAATGGCAACCACTGCACCCTTTTCAGGAGGGGTAGCACTCTCACATAAAAATGGTAGTGACCAATTCAAATTTTTAAAATAAACAAATAAATAAATAAACATATTAAAATTTTTATAGTGCCATTTCCCAATGGTTCAATGGTACTTTACAAGAAATTAAAACTATAAACTAATACCTACTATAAAAAATTAAGAAAATGCAAAAAATAGATAAAAATTTAAAAAGATATTAATAATTACAAACTTCAACTTAAAAATGCTTGTTGACCTTGTTTAAAAAGCCACGTTTTCAAAGACTTCCCTACCCATTCAAGGGTATAGGAAAAGAACTCTTAGAAGGCACCAGAACCTTGTGTCGAGGGCATGGCTAAAATTCATTTGTACACCTAACACATACTAAATCTACCACAACAAATTAGATGATGCTGACAATAATAACCCTAAAAAGGTATTACAATGACTCTAAAGGCAGTCATTTTAGATTTTACACCCCAAGTGGTACTGATGAACCAAATTTAGTCCTTTAAAGCATCCCTTTATTTTTTCAGCAAAGTCCCCTCAGGCTACTATTTATGTCACCAGCACCACCCTTCCCTACCCATTGCCTTTTGCCTCTGTGTCAAAACAAGACTGAAACCATGTGAAACCATTCATATGAAAATACAGTGAAACTTTTATTTAGCAGACCCCCTGTTAAGTGGACACCCTCTATGAAGCGGACACCTAGCTCGTGTCTCTAAATTTTCTTCCTATATTTATTGTAAAATAAACCTGCATTCAGTGGACACCTCTGTTAAGGAGACACGTGTATACATGTGTATGTGTATACCAACATCAAGCCATTTTGATGCATAAAACCTGAAATAAGTGGACAATTCAAAGGCTTCTTACTTCTAAAAGCTCAGCTCAGACTCCTTTAACATTGTTCAGCGATACCATTTTAAAGCTTAGTAGATTATTCCAGATTAATTCCTTGACTGATGACAGGCAGTTAGCAATAAAGGCAACGTTTTTCAATGGCAGAGTTCCCATTAACGCACAGGTGTGCGTCTTATATGTACTAAAAATTAAAAAGGACGCACAGTTTTTTGGCAAAGTGCATCCTTGGGATGTAGGAAAAAAGTTCCGAAAACTTTAGTAATAGGCAAAGGACCCCAGAAAAACAACGAAAAAAACCCAACTCTTTGGGAGTCCCAAGGACCCTTAACTATCAAAACTAGTGGGAACTCTGGAAAGGGTTAATAATAAACTACTATTGCACAATAAATTAGAATCTGTTTAGAGCGGACACCCTGTATTAAGTGAACATAAATGAGTGTCCCAGGGGCATCCACTTAATACAAGTTTCATTGTAAGCAAAAATGTGTTCTGCCTACAGGTTCATTTCAAGCAAATCAAACTCACATGAAAGTTTTTTCAAGAGGACTTGTTTTGAAACAGAGGCATAAGTTAACTCAGACATGGCCTATTGTATTCCTTTCCCACCTTCCCCATCCCTGCCTCTACCATTGGCTGCTGTGAGTCAGTCTCTGGGTTGTGATTGGTACATTTCAATCCATTTTGTTGGTCATTTTTCTATAAGGTTGACAGATTGTTGTTGTAACTATCATGATTGACAGCAATGAAGAACCCAATAAAATTTTAATTCAAGTTTTGAAGTCTGGGTGTTAATCAAAAGCATAATAATAATCAAGGGTAATTTCAGATTTTGTACATGGTCTCTAAGAATGTAAATAAGTTAACAAATTGACTTCAGTTTTTCATGCGTCTGCCCTGTTATTGATCATGAACTTTGTCATAATAAAATTGTCAAATCAAGGCAGTGTTGGCTCTCGCTCATTGACGCATCACATAAGTTATAAATTCATTTGTCTATCCACTTATTGACAATGAAAATCAGCCAATGAGCGTGTGAGAATTTCTGCAGTTATCGTAAAATACACAGTTCATAGATTCGATCCCAATATCGCTGATCACTTAACCTGGTCACTTATGTTCAAATTTCCAACAGTTTTGGAAGCAATGTCCACTGGTTCACAAAACCGCTGGAAGTCAACAAACTTTTCTGGGCCAGAAAATGAGACACACCAAAAAACGAAGACAAATATCTGCGATTGAAATAATCTGAAACAAAAAAATTAAAAACCTAATTTTCTGATTCCTACTCATTACTACTTAGATATTCAAACTAGCACTCACTCTGACACTGTGTCCTAGAATTTTAAAAGATTCATCTGCATACAAACTACTGTATGACCTTTGGGTCAGCCTGCAGCCTACATCTCTCAGATTAAACGAACGCTATTTACCTGTTTTTCCTGGCAAATGAATTCCATCCTAGCTATAACGTCTGGGATTCCATTTATAAAAAGAATTAAGGGCTCAAGACACTGACATGGAAGTATGACCGCCGGTACCGCCGGTATATCACCGCTCGTAACTGAGCCTGCAAGGCTAACCACTGACTCTCAAACTTGGATGCGCGTGATTTCTTTCAAAATAACTTGAGCGGGCCCTGGGGACGAGGCTGCTGGACTTCGGTGTGTTGTTGTTGTTCGTCCTTCGTAGTCTTGTTTACAGTTTACATGGTTGACAATTAAAGAGTTTTAACCGGATTAGATGTACCATACAGCTCAAAAAGACGTGGATAAACTGTTATTAAGTGCTATAAACTCCAAATGGAAGGTTCTGAATCTTAGTCATCGCGATCTGACCGTACTTCCCGATTCTTTGAAGAAACTTGTCAGAGTGAGAACTTTGTTGTTGAATGACAACAGAATTATTATGCCTCCAATGGAACTTGTTTCGCTCAAAAACCTTCAGGTTTTGGCGTTGGATCATAATCAGTTGACCTTGATACCGTCAGGATTCCGGCAGCTATCAAACTTGAGGATTTTGTGTTTGAGTCACAATAACCTAGGGTTTTTACCGTCAGAAATTGGAGAATTGACTTTTCTTCAAGAGTTGTGGATTGTCAACATTCAGCTCATAGGATTGCCTCCTGAAATTTGCAATCTTCTGAACCTGGAAAAGCTTGGTGCAGGATGCAACAGTATTAAAACACTACCGGAGAAGTTCTCAGCTCTAAAGTCCTTGAAATGGCTCAGCTTATCAAACAATCAACTTTCAACTTTACCAAGTGATTTTCATTGCCTCATCAACTTGATACATTTGGATCTGGCAGAAAATCAATTCGGCAAGTTTCCAGAAGGCTTGAGTGGTTTGCACAAACTGGAATGCATAAACCTGCGTTCAAACATGATTCAATCTTTGGACAGCAATTCAGTTAGTAACTTGCCTCACTTGAGTCGTGTAGACTTGAGAGACAACATTTTGACATTACTTCCAAGAAATTTAGATCGCTTACACATATTTTTCATTGGAGAAAGACAAATTTTCAGAGACATTGATGACCAGAGCATGCAAAAAGTTAATGAAGTCAGGAAGAAACAGAAGTTGTCAAAAAATAGATTATCTTGATTAGGGTAGTGGGCAATATTAAACTGGTGTTAATTCTGTTTACTAAAAATATTCAAACTTTTCTGGTCATTCCCATATTTATTAAAATTAAGTATTCTGCATCACATACTTTTGACCCTGACTTGCT